CCTTCATAAAGGCTCTCATCAATAAATCAATAAACAAATGGGACTACATCAAAATAGTAGTTCATGCACAGCAAAGAAACCATCAACAAAACAAGAAAACCCACTGCATGGGAGAACATATTTGCCAGTGTTATCACCGATAAGGGTTTAATCTCTAAATTTACAGGGAACTCATATAACTTAACAAAAGAGAGATAAACAACCCAATCAAAAAATGGAAATGGACCTAAATAGATATTTTTCAAAAGAAGACAGAAGGAAGGCCAAGAGACATGTGAAAACATGCTAAAGTCAGTTATCATCTTAGAGATGCCAATCAAAATGACAATGAGGTACCATCTTACACCTGTAAGAATGGCTATCATCAACAAATCAACAAATGACAGGTGCTGGTAAGGATGTGCAGAAAAGAGAACTCTTGTGCACTGTTGGTGGGATACCCATCAGCAGATGTTTGGATTAAAAAGCTCTGGTACATTTACACAATGGAATACTACTCTGTGGTAAAAAAATAAAGAAGGAATTCTTACCATTTGCAAAATCATGGATGGACCTGGAGAGCATTATGCTAAGAGAAATAAGCCAACAAGAGAAAGATAAATATCACATGATGTTACTCATTTATGGAATATAATGAACAACATAAATTGATGAACAAAAACAGATCCAGAGACAGAGAAGCATCAATCAGACCATCAAACCTCAGAGGGAAGGCAAGGGAGGGTGGGGGTAAGGAGGAGGATCAACCAAAGGACTTGTATGCATGCATATAAGCCTAAACAATGGACACTGACAACAGGGGGGTGAGGGCATGAGTGGGGGTGGGGGAAATAAGGACAAATATGTAATACCTTAATCAATAAAGAAATTAAAAAAAAGAAACCATCAACAAAATAAAAGGAGCCCACTGTATGGGAGAACATATTTTCCAATAATACATCTCATAAGGGCTTAAATTCCAAAATATATAAAGAACTTATATAACTCAAAACCAGGAAGACAACAACTCAATTAAAAAATGGGTGGTGTGGCTCAGAATTGAGCGTGAACCTATGAAACAGGAGGTCACAGTTCAATTCCCGGTTAGGGCACATGTTCTGGGTTGTGGGCTCAACCACTTATGGGGGGTGTGCAGGAGGCAGCTGACCACGATTTTCTCTAATAATTGATGTTTCTATTTCCCTTTCCTTCTCCCTTCCTTCCTAAAATCAATAAAAACTTTTTTTTTAATGGGCAAAGGGAGGATTCCTACATGGTGGCTGGCAGGACTGGAGTGGGGGAGAGTGTGAGTGAGTGAGTAAGTGAGTGAATGAGTGAGAGGGTAAGTGTGTGGATGTGCATGGGTATGTGTGTGTGTGTGTGAGGGATAATCCAATTGTGCCGGAGTCTCAGGGTGGGCTCTCCTGGCCAAAAAGTCCTTGCTACTGCCACAGTCACTCCCCTAGTGTGGCTCTGGCTTGGAAACCATGCCATCTTGAAGGGTTTATCAGGTTCTCCTGGGGAGGAGGCCTTACAAGACACACTTAGATCAGGTGAATCTAACTGATATTTACAGAACATTTCATCCCAACGCAATAGAATATACATTCTTCTCAAGCACACAAGGAACATTCTCAAAGACAGACCACATGTGAGGGCACAAAACAAGTCTATACAAATTAAAGAAAATTGATATAATATCAAGCATCCTCTTGAAAAACAATGGCAAGAAGTTAGAAATCAACTACAATAAAGAAACTCAAAAACACTCAATACATGGAGGCTAAATAGCATATTATTTAACAATGAATGGGTTACCAATGAGATCAAGCAAGAAATTACAAACTCCCTGGAAACAAATGAAAATAAACACACAACCACCCAAAACCTATGGGACATGGCAAAAGAAGTCCTGAGAGGGAAGTGCATAGCATGTATTTCCATAGCATTTATTTCAGGACTAGCTCAAGAAATAAGAAAAAGCACTAATAAACTATCTAACTCTACAACTAAATGAATTAGAAACATAGCAGCAAGAAAAGCCCAGAAGAAGTAGAAGGAAGGAAATAGTAAAGATCAGAGTGGAAATAAATGAGAGAGAGAGAGAGAAAAAAATAACAATACAACAATATAAAAGATCAATGAAACTAAGAGCTGGTTCTTTGAAAAAATAAACAAGACTGATGAATCCCTAGCCAGACTCATCAAGAAACAAAGAGAGAGGAACCAAATAAATAAAATCAGAAATTAAAGAGGTGATATAACATCAGACACCACAGAAATAGAAAGAATTGTAAGCAAATACTATGAATAACTTTATGCCAACAAACTGGACAACCTAGGCAAAATGGACAAATTCCTAGGAACCTATAATCTTCCAAAACTCAATGAGGTACAATCAGAAAACCTGAGTAGGCCAATAACAACTGATAAAATTGAAGCAGTAATTTAAAAACTCCCAGCAAACAAAAATCCTGGACTGGATGTATTTATAGGAGAATTTTACCAAACATTCGAAGAAGAACTAACATCTATCCTCCTCAATTTATTCCAAAAAAATTCAACAGGAAGGAATACTTCCAAGCTCTTTTTACAAAGCCAGCATTATCCTAATTCTAAAACCAGATAAAGACACTACAAAGAAAGAAAATTACAGGCCAATATCCCTGATGATATTGGACATACAATGGAGTAAAGACAGTCTCTTCAACAAATGGTGTTGGGAAAACTGGACAGACACATGCAAAAAGATGAAACTAGACTACCTTTATCTGAGAGGAGGATGAGAAGAAGGAGTAGGAGGAGGAGGAAGAGGGGGAGGAAGAAGAAGAAGAGAAAGAAAAAGAAGAGGAAGAAGAGAACAAAATAAGAATAAAATGTCAACATACATGGCTATCAACAATTGAATCTAAAAATCAAACGCAAAATAAAGTGGAATCAGAGGCACAGGAGCATGGAGCAGACTGGTAATCTCAGAGGGAAGCAGGGGCAGAGTGGGAAGAGATTTACTAAAGATCTGGACACAGATAGTAGTGTGGTGAAGGCCTGGGGTGGGGCTGGAACTGGGTGGAGGGAGGTAATGGGGGTAAAAAAGGGGACATCTGGAATATTCTCAACAATAAAGATTAAACACACACACACATACACACACACACACACACACACACACACACAACACCCCAAGTGATGAAAAACAAGGACCTACAACCAATATTACTCTAGCCAGCAAAGCTATCATTTAGAATTGAAGGTCAGATAAAGAGCGTCACAGACAACAAAAAGCTAAAGGATTTCATCACAACCAAACCAGTATTACATGAAATGTTGAAGGGTATTCTTTAAGAAGAGGAAGAAGAATAAAAAAGAAAAAAAAATATGAACAATAAAATGGCAACAAATACATATCTAACAATTGAATCTAAAAATCAAAATAGACAAGGAATCTAATGAACAAAATAAACTGATAAATAATAAAATAGAATCAGAGGCATGGAAACGTGGAACAGACTGATGAATCTCACAGGGAAGAGGAGAGGAGTGATGGGAAAAGATTAACCAAAGAATTTATATTCATGGACACAGACAATGGGGTGGTGAAGGCCTGGGGTGAGGGGGGAAGAGAAAGAGGGTAGAGGGGGGCAATGGGGGAATAAAGAGGGACATCTGTAATACTTTCAACAATACAGATTTAAAATTAAAAAATAGTCACTTTTCCAAATAGGATATGGCCAATAGACATATAAAAAAATTCTCAATGTCAATATTCATCAGGTATGCAAATTAAAACTATAATGAGATATTATCTCACACCTATCAGATTGATTACCATCAATAAATCAACAAACAACAAGTGCTGGTGAGGATGTGGAGAAAAGGGAACCCTAGTGCACTGTTGGTGGGAATACAGTATGGTGTAGCCACTGTGATATTTTATTCCTTTTTTTTTTTTTTTCAGAAAGTGGAGGAGAGGGAGAGGGAGAACAAAGACAGAAACATCGATATGACAGAGACACATCTATTGGTTGCCTTCTGCATGTGGGGGCTGAGGATCAAGCCTGCAACCAAGATATGTGCCCTTGACTGAAAATCAAACCTGCCAGCCTTCTATCTCTGGGCCAATGCTCTAACCATTGAGCAACCAGCCAGGGCCAGATCCTGAACTTTTAAAAAATGTTGGTCTGCTTATTGTAGTAACATAGGTGAGAAATTTTGAAACATTTTTTATGCATTCTGGGATTAAAGAAAGGAGTAACTATGCTGATATGGAGTAAATGTGCTAATGAGCCAGCGTACCCACTGTAGAAGAAAGGACTTACAAATACAGAATGGAAGAAGGCAAGGTGAGGATGGTTTGGAACTTGAATTATTGTTTTTTTCGAAAAACGTGGGTATGGAGAGAGAGGAAGCATGTGCAAGAGTGTGAATGTGTGAGACAGCACATGTATTGTCTCAAACACATAAAAAGCAAATTTGGGGATCAAATTTTAACGATAGAGAATATGGGTAAATGGTATACAGATGTCCATTGTGTTATTTTATTTTTATTACTGCTTGTAAATTTAAAATTATTTCCAAATAAAAATATTATTATAAATTTGTGACATATAGAAATGTATCTAAAATCTTGCCTCTAATATTATTACTTTCATAAAGCATTCACATTTAGGGTGGTATAAAAATAAACCAATATTTTATTAATCAAAGTTAAATTATTTAATTAATTTATCAATTAAAATTAATACAAATTGATGTAAAAATAACAATAACATCAGATTTAAAATATATAATTATGTAATCATTACTAAATGATTACATAATTATATATGTAAAATAGACATGTTTCACTTTAGAATATTTATACAAAACTAATAGTCAAAATACTTTCTTTTTATGTGAACATAAGTAATCATGTTTCAATAGCATTATTCTTGACAGACTGTTACTGAGTTTCCTTACATCCTCAAATAGTCACTGTATATATTGCTATATGGTCCCCAGAGAATGGACCCTAAACCACTCACTCTTCTAGAGATCGATCCAGGCCTCGGTCAGGAGATCGGTGGTGAGCACGTTCTGGTGAATGACATTTTGTATTTGGCTTTAGTGTAGAACTCAAATAATAAGCATTACTTGAGTAGTTCTGGCGGCGAAGTTCTTGCACAGCCCTATCCCTAAAGCAAAATGTTTAAAATAGAATTTCTTAAACTTTATATCCAGTGGCATTATTAATCCAGTGGCAAAACTGAAGTTCAATTCACACTTTAAAACCTAGCCATCATGGGATAACCAGAATCTGTTGTTATCTAAGAAAGAATGCTCCCAGCCTAAATACTGGATAGAGACCAACTTACCTTTCAAAGCGCTCGGTCCCTAGCTGTCTTTTGGTAATGTCTAAATCAGCTTCCAGTTGTGTGACGACATTCCTGAACTGGGCCACATCTCTACTCTGGATGGCCCTGTGTAAAAGAATGTAAGGGAGAGAGTTGATTAGACTTTTCAACGTCTAGAACTTCTGAACCATGTTGGCAATGTTCTCAGCTGGATCCAAGCCAAACTGTGATCTTTATGGACGAATATGCCAATTTTAGGTGTAGTAAATGTACAAGGTAGCCTATTTGAAAAGCTTAAGGTGTGCCAATCACACTCAGTTAGTTAAACTTTGTCTGTGTCAGTTTATTTGTGCTTACATGGAGTAATATTATCTATTATCAATCTCTATTACCTATTTACTGCACATCTATATATATAAAAGTCTAAGCGACTGGCCGACCAGCCGACCTTCCGACTGGCTAACCAGTGGCTATGACGCGCACTGACAACCAGGGGGTAGATGCTCAAAGCAGGAGCTGTTGAGTGCAGTGACTTGGCAGCTGCGGTTCTTGGGTGATACACCTGGAACCATAGAGGAGGGAGCCCGATTCTGGGGTGCATCACCTGTGACTCGCCCTCTCACAATCTAAGACCCCTCAGGGGATGTCAGAGAGCTGGTTTCAGCCCAATCCTCACAGGCCACGCCGGCGGACCCCACCAGTGCATGAATCTGGGCACTGGACCTCTAGCCCATTGGCTCCCTACTTCAGGTCTGGCTCCCCACTGGGCCTCTAGCCCATTGCAGAGGTCATGGGTCTGACCCTTACAGTAACTTTTTGACTCAACTAGCTAAATGATGAGATATGCAGGGCTTACTAGCTGTGGCCCCGATGTCTGGTGCCCACACTGGCCCATGTGCTTAATATCAATTTCCAGTGGAGGCAGTGAATTTTCCCACTACCATTCTCAGCTGGGAAACTGGCTGCGGCTTCCCTCCTTCTAGGCAGACAGTAGCACCAGCAGGCAACCTCCGAGGAGGGAAGGAGGCAAAGTAGCAGCTCAGTTGGGAAGAAGGAGGTTCCTACCCCCACAGGACTCCACCTGGGCGGAAGGGCCAGGGCAGGAGCCTGACATTGAGCAGGGTCCTGCCCTAGGCTGACTAGATTCCAGGCTAAGTAAATCCTGTTAGCTAAATAATTGCATTTTACAGCTAAATGCCCACAAGTTGTCAGTTACCACCAAACTTAGAGTAAAGTGAGAAGAAAGAAGCGAGACAGATACAGAGAGAAAGTGGCATAATATTGGGAGAAGAGAGGAGGGAATCTGATTCTGGGGTGTGTCACCTGAGAACTGCCCTCTCGCAATCCGGGACCCATGGGGGATGTCAGAGAGTCGGTTTTGGCCTGATCCTCACAGGCCAGGTCGAGGAACCCCACCAGGGTACGAATCTGTGCACTGGGCAATCTAGTTATTTTTATAGAAGTACTTTAAAGGATTGTACTCTCGCCGAAACCGATTTGGCTCAGTGGATAGAGCGTCAGCCTGCGGACTGAAGGGTCCCAGGTTTGATCCCACGCACTCTCTCCTCCATTTAACGGGACCTCCTTTAGGGCTAAGCCATGCCACAAACACCCATAACACGGCGCCCTGTCATCAGGAAGATAACGACGGAGACGAATGCTGCTTGGACGGAGCACTCCTCTCTCTGCTTGTTCCCAGGACAGCACTCTAGAGCACACAGGCTGATTGTGTTTACCAGGGTAAGGGAAGTACTGATCAGCCAGTCTAAAACAGAAGGTAGTCTTTAAGGTTACATTCTTAAGAGATTTCCACCTCTGGCTTGAGAAAGTGACCTGGCAGAACCGGTTAAAGGTAGCACAACAGCCCAGCGGCAGTGACTAAGGACTCAGTGACAGCTGCCATAACCTGGGAAACAATTTCTGAAGGAACTGGCTTTGGCTTTACAGGTCGGGCTCAGTCAGGGGCTCCTGTGAGTGGCTGATTCCTGAGACCATGATTCCTGTCCCTCCCCAGACCCCATGCTCAGACAGGAGGGCAGAGTTGAGGCTGGATGAAAAAGTGTTATAGAGGAGACAGGTAAGAACAGAGCCTGGGGGTCCCCATGCCTGTTTTTGGTGAGAGGTGACCAAGTTTAGAACATTCACTCTCCAGGCAGGCATTTCCACCCACCCTTCCAGCAGAGTCATGGAAGAAGCTGCTAATGGTGCTGGGATGCTGAAAGAAGCAGCCACAATCATGCTCTAAGGGAAGTCTTCAGTATTCTGTGAATGCAGGAGTCCTTGCAGGTACCCAGTATGTACAATTATAGGTACACAAGCAAATACAGTGTGACAAATGGAAAGATTAGGGAGCAACACCAGGTGGGCTCATATATAGAAAAATTCTTCTGGTTTCAGAAGTGTATATTTTTCTAATCTGGTTATAATATTTCCTAAAGACAATATTTTAGATCAGACATCTTATTATACCCAAAGTTCTATTGGAAACAACCAACACAATGGTTAAACTTAAAATTAAATCAATTTAGCTAAACATATAATAGAAACTAGCACTAAATTTTTGGCAAATCACAATATTTCTGGTGCACAGTTTAATTAATGGCTAATTATGGATGCTTAAATTATATAAATTCCAGCTTTAAAATTCTACTAACCAATAAAGTATCAAAAAATTTAAGAGATATGACTTTGTTATTATACTGCTAACAAACTCACATTTTATTTTCTGCCAAACACAGGTGTTCTTTAAGCAGCTGAATTTCAGATTCTTTTTCTTGAAGCGCTATCTGAGACTGATATTCTTTGTCCCGATTGGCCACCAGCAAAGCTTCTAGATTCTGCATGGAGATTCTCTCATTTGTCATCTGACTTCTGAGGAGTTCTATTTCAGAACGAGCAGAATCTAACTCATTCTCCATCTGTACAATAATAGGAAGATATCTATACTTATTCCCATTCATCACTTAACTGATAGATTATCAAAGACATAAAATTTCTGTATTATGTAATAAGAACCCCCTTTAATTTCTTTCTTTTTCAAAATCCTCAACTGATATTTTTTTATTGACTTTAGAGAGACAAATGTGAGAAAATGAGAGAGAGATAAACTTTGATGTGAGAGTGAAACATTGATCAGTTGCCTCCCATTTGCGCCCCCACAGGGAACGAACCTGCAACCTAGGTATGTGCCCTGACTAGGAATCAAACCCACAACCTTTTGGTATATGACGCTCCAACCACCCGATCCACCTGGCCAGGGCCCTTTTAATTTCTTGAATAGAAATATTGTCCTCCTCCTTACCAAATACACATATACACACAGAGTTTCATTTCTTCCAACTTTTTGATCATATCAGAAAATTCATTAAGTAATGAGTTATTTACCTCAAACTGCAAACAATTTCCAATTCCAGCTTCGATATTTATTTATATATTTCTGCATGACTGACATGGTGATACCTGTGACTACCGCATTTACTCTGTTAGGTGAGTTACAAACATCTAACTACATTATGGAGTGTCATTGCACTCCATTGTTAAGGAAGACAAGGACTCATTACACATGCCCTCCCTTGCATAAACCCTTGGAAAGTTTCATTTTTTTGAAGGTTATCTTGAACCTGAAATACACTGTGTAAGCCAAATGTTTCTCCAAAAGAAAGAAAAGCAGACATTACTATTTAGTAAAAAAAGTATTCCTAAAATTATCTCATAATACACATTATAATAAATTAAATTTAAAAAGTTAAATGTGGCCCTAGCCAGTTTTGTTCAGTGGATAGAGTGTCGGCCTGTGGACTGAAGGGTCCCAGGTTTGATTCCAATCAAGCACACATGCCTGGATTGCAGGCTCAATCCCTAGTACAGGGTGTGCAGGAGGCAGCCAATCAATGATTCTCTCTTATCACTGATGTTTTAATCTCTCTCTCCATCTCCCTTCCTCTCTCTGAAATCAATAAAAATATATTTAAAAAATTTAAAAGATGAGATTAAAGCAGGAGGGGGAGGCAGCTGGGGGAAAAACTTCCTGAACTATATAAAATTAAAAAGTGATGTCTGACCAAACAAAAACATATTGATAGTCTATATAAAGCTTAAAATTTACAGGAAAACAACAGGAAGAAAGTAAACTCAGTAAATAAAATAAAGAGTTAATATCTTACTAATATAAGAAACTCATGCAAATTGAGAAATGTGAACAGAAACATAAAATATATCTGATTAATTATTAAACATAAGGAAAAATAACTTTATGAATAATCAAAGAAATATAAATTAAAACAAAATGCTATTTCTAGTTTCTTAACCTTGACAGTGGCGACCTTTTGGGTTGAATGAGTAAGTGGCGAAGGGAGCTGCCTATGCCTCACAGTGTGCTTACAGCACCCCGGACCTCTACTAGAGGCCAGTGGCATCCCCCACCCTAGCAGTAACAACCACAAGTGTCTCCAGACATTGCTGGATGTCCAGGGGGAGCAAAATCTCTGATCCAGTTTAACAAATTAGTAAATTTCTTAGTGTGTGTTGATTAACTTTAAAATGGGCAATAGTAATTTCATACACCCTGCAGGAATACAAAATGGAGCATCACTATTTTTGGCAACAGCTTTATTGAAATATAATTCACATACCATATATAACTCAGGCATTTAAAAGGTACAATTCAATTTTTTTAGTATATTAAAAGAATTGTGCAACCATACCATAACTAGAGGCCCGGTGCACAAAAATTTGTGCACTTGGGGGGTGGAGGGCAGTCCCTCAGCCCAGCCTGTTCCCTCTTGTAGTCTGGGATCCCTCGGGGGATGACCACCTGCTGGTTTAGGCCTGCTCCCTGGGGGATTGGGCCTAAGCTAGCAATCAGACATCCCTTTGGCAGCCTGGCAGCCCTCGGGGAAGGTCCACTTGCTAGCGGGGAACAGGCCTAAGCTGCAGTCAGACATCCTTAGTGCTGCTGAGGAGGCGAGTGTGGCTCCCACCACCACCACTGTACGGGTAGCCATCAGCCTGGCTTGTGGGTGGGCAGAGCTCCCTCTGTGGGAGCACAATGAAAACCAGGGGACAGATCCTGCATTGAGCATCTGCCCCCTGGCAGTCAGTGGGGAGCACAGTG